TTAAACTTTATATATATTTATGTATGTAAAAAATTATCTATATTAATAAACTAGAGTAAAGTCTCACTTTAGCCGTTTAAAAAAAAAAAAAAAAATAAAAAAAAAATAATGGTAAAATAATGTTAAAAAAAAATAAAATAATAATATAAAAATAATATTATATTATAGAATTTAATTATTTTATAACAATATTAAATATGAAGATTTTAAACATTTTTTTTTTTTTTTTTTTAAAAAGACAAGATAATAATCTTTTAGTTATTTTATTGCAATTTTAAACTTGAAACAAGATTTACAATTTACAAAAAAGATATACATCTCTCTAAACTAAGTAGAGTTAAATGCCAGGCTCAAAAATAGCTTTTTATTTATGCTTTGAGTACCTCCAAGACATATTGTAAAATGAATTTCAAAATCTATATCAGTATTTTGAGTAGTATCTAGTTTTTTAGAGATAATTTGATTATCTAAACACATGAAGGCACTATAGGCATATTTTCACAGGTTAACTTCCAAGTCATAAGTAGGATTAGTATTCTTGCTTTTCAAATATGGCTTAATGTATGGCAAGAGGAATCAGTGGTGGCATTATTGCCAAATTTGATTTATAATTGTTACCTTAATGCATGAAGGCACTGCAGCCACTTTATGCAGGTTGGCCTCCAAGTCACAAAAAGGATTTGGCATATCCACTGTTCAAGTGTGACAGAAATGTCCAATGGATAGAGTTGGATTGGATTTTCTTATAGGCATTGCTATCTAATCTTGTACAAGAGACCTACATTGTTGAAAAGTGAATGATTGATGTCATCAGCTCTGTTTGCGGGAGTAACTAGAATTTCTGATCTTTATGTATTGTCTTACTAGATTTTCATAAGACATAACATCTAGAAATTCAGCCAATAATAGTGTGCACTGGTTTCTTAGATGTATCTAGTCTAGTTATCAACAAATAAACAATACCAGATTTGATAATGATGATTATGCTAAAAAAAAAAAAACTCTTATCTGTTCACCACTGATTTTTTGAAAATTTCCTTTTTTAAAAATCTTCTTTTAAGAAGCGCTTTCCTCTCCTTACTTCTCTAAGGCAAATAAGCTTTACACCCAAGGACATAAAGACTTCAAGGAATATTGTTACATTGGGATGGAACCTCTGGTCAAGGTCTAAGCAAGTTGGGAGTCTTCCTTAGCTCTTGGTTGTATGGGGAAAGGCCCATGGCAGTCCTCCTTCATAATTTTGTCTTTAGATATCTTCCCCTTTATATATGACCATTATAGTCATCTTCCTTTTTTCTTTCTTCTCTCTCCATATTACAAATACATTCTCAACAATACATTTAAACAAAGTTATTGGGTCCAATGTTTGTCTTAATACAATCTTTACAAATTTATTTTCTTTTCCTCAAATTTTTCTCAAATATTCAAAAAACCGTATCTAGCTCTACCCCTTCAAAAGATCTACACACACTTAACAGCCAATCAAATTATCTCACCCCTTAATCAAAAAACAAAACCTGCTCAAACCTGTTTATAACCAGTCCCTACAATGAAAATTCCCACACACACAAAATAACCTCAATGATCTACATATATCCAACAATCAATCAAAATTTCTTATTTCTTATTCAAAAACAATACTTGCTCAAACCTATTTGCAACCAGTTCCCACAACAAAATTCTAACACACTTACAACAATAACAACAACTATAATAACAATAATGACAATAACAAAAACTGACAACTTATCAGATTGGAAGAGCGTGTGATCTGTGCCCTGCGCGGGTTCTGATAATCTTTAACTTGATATACATCCAAAATACAACAAGCAATTGGAGCAGGCTCCAGTTACCCGGCTCACTTTAATACAGCCACATTATATAATACCTAACCTCACAAACTTGCTTATTATCTTCAATAATGGAGTTGTGCCCCATGAGCAGCAATGCTACTGTTAAAGAAAAAAGGCAGCCAAAGCCTGATTAATGTGAATAAGAGCAATCTTATTTTGGGTGGAAGTGAAATACCAGGAAGTTGCATCCCGTAATCTGGCAACCTATGCCAGTGCCCTGCTATTGCTGTTGGAGTCGCGCCCAATTGTTGAAAAGGAAGCCTTGAACCTAGGTAGACATATTGAATCTATGTCCTGCGGGAGGGATTGTTGAATAACAGATAATACGTCTTCAAATCCTATTACATTTTTCCTCTTCAATATTTATCCTATCAAACACTAACTATACACTTCATATGACCTTTCGTTACATTTTTGAATACCATATCAAAGTGTATAAACAATCTTATCACAAAAATATATTTTCTCCCTAATCAAACTTCTTACATTCCTTCCTATAATATGGCAATCTTGTCTGAATAGTATTTTGTTGCTTTATTTTTTATATAACAGATAGTTCCTTATGTTTTCTTTGCATCAAAGTTTTTTTATGATATATCTGTTTATAGTGATAGGCCAATATGTATTGTCATATACTTCATTCTTTTATTTGATTTCGTATAAAATGTATTTCATTTTTTACTTTATAATCAATAAAGTTATAAAGAAGGCCTCACTTAACATTTAAAAAAAAAGATAATAATGGTCATGCTAATCTTTTGGAGGGATAAACTGTCTGTCTTTTTTCTAAAAAATCATGAAAGAGAAAAACTTGTTAAAATCCACTTCTTGGAGAAGGTTGCTACTTTTTATATGGTTCTTGAGAAAATGGAGTTGATTGATCAGAAGAGTAATGAAATGGAGCATGGTATTTTTAGAAAGAAAGAGAGACCTAGAGAGGAAAAACTTCAGAAAGAAGAAAAAACCTAACTTCAGCAGGGAAGAGGGGAAAAAAAAGGGAGGGAAAGGTATAAAAAGAGGAGATAAAAGAGGAGGGAGAGAAGAAGGAGAGGGAAATAAAAGGTTTGTAACCATGGAAAGGGAAGGGAAAGTAAGAAAGCAAAAAAAAAATAAACAACTCAAAAAGTTTCCTAAAAAGAAAATTTTTAAGCATAGAAGAGGAAATGGGAAAGATTTTTTTTATATATTTTAGATTTTAAACATTTTAAAGATTTTTTAAAATTAATTTTATATAATAAAAAATTTTTTAATATCAATTATTATGTTTTTTTCTAAAAAAATTTTTTTTTGACTTTAAATTAATATTTTAAATAAAAAAATTAAATAAATATTAATGAAACTTTGATATTTTATTTAAATAGATTCTAATATACTGTATATATATTTAAAGTTTTAATTTAATTTAATTGTTATTTATCAAATTATAATAAAAAATATCAGTTTAATTATTTTTAGATTCATATTGTATAATACTAATAAACTTAAAAATATAAACTAGAAAAACAAAATTATTAATTACAAATAAAAAAAATAAAATAAAAGTTATTATAATTAAATAAATTTTTCAAAAATAAAATAGAACTTGAATAAAAAAATTTAAATAAAAACACTATAATTATAAATAAATAATAATAGAAATATTATATTATATCAATATATTTTTTTGAAAATTATTAATGAAAAAACTAATTGAAATAATATAAATTACTTTTTATAATATTGTTTAATATAATATTTTTTATTATTATAAATAGTTAAAATTAATTATAAATCAAGTGATTTTTAAATTAATAATAAAAAATTTTATTATTTAAAAATAGATTTTTAACTAGTATGTAAACCAATTTATATAATATAATAATTTATATAACTGGATATAGCAAGTAATAAATAGGCAAGTTGATATCAGAATGTATTAAATTTATATATAACTTTTAGTTATTATCTATAATATAGTTGAACATGATTATATAAATATTACTGTAAATACAGTATAAATAGTTTTTTAAAAAAAATTCAATATTCTATTAGCGTAATTATTTAACAATGTATGCAAATGATATGGTTTAATGAATTTTGATCTAAAAAAATTATGTATGTATGCAATTAAAAAATTGCTTATTCCATTTCTGGACAAAAAAAATATAGTATGGTATTTTCAAATAATTTTTTCTTGATCCACACTCATACAGTATATTATTATTCAAAGTTTTTTAAAAAAATCAACACCATATCTTTTCGGCTTACATTTCTTTTGCAGTAAAACCATAAATGAGATATTGAATGAATCGTATTTATTGAAATTCCAGCTTTGTAATAAATAGATAACAATTTGTACAGGGGTTTTATAGTTCCATTTATATTTTTCGTTAATTTCAATTTATTATTATCATTATTATAGCCGTGTTTGATAGAAGAAATTTACAGTATTTCCAGATTAAATGTACACCCTGATCTCGCAGACGCGAGTCCGGTACTTTATTCAGAATCAGTATCATCATCGGTTATTGATGATTGCAACCGAAAGCCTCCAAAATCATCAAAAGATGTATTCCTCCTAACCGGAACCGGACTATCTTTTAGATACGGCGTCGTCATATTGTTGGAAAACATTGATTCAATATTAATATTCGTTAATCTGGGATAATCTCGCGTTGCTCGTGTGTTTGGCGGCACCTGAAGGTATTTTGATGTAGAAATTACCGGGAGTGATTGTTGAATAGTGTTACAAGTATTTATGGGAGAAGATTGTTGAGTAATAACGCCGATGTCCACAGTTCGAGCAGAATCTACTTGAGATTTTGCTCGAGTGCTCGTGATATTAGAGTTTGACTGAGAAGATTGCTGAAATTTGTTTATGCCGGCATTACGGCTAGACGCTTGATTGATTTCACAAAGTTTTTGTGTTATAGATGATTCTTTCTTCTTTAATCCTTGCTGACTGATTTTGCCGGTAAATTTTCGATTACGACGACGTGGTTCCGGATTGGTGTCAGCCGGTGGTAGGGGTGCAATCAATATTCGATTTTTTCTGGCATATGATCGAGTTACTGGGCGTTCCTTTCTTGACACTTTGTTCATGGTTTTCAAATGCAATTTTCTTAATGGGAATCAAGGAACACATCCTTAATATAACGTTTCGACTGTATTGTATATGAACCGTCAGAAATTAGATGCATAAATCTCTCTTATTATTTCAACGGTTACAAATATTGTTTATAAAAAATCACAGCAACCGTATTATTTCATGTTACCAATGTATTATGGAAATTTCGCATGTATACTTACCCCTGGGTTGCACGCATTAATATTATTGCACTAGTACTAATCTATCAGTAAGCAGCCAGTACAATGTGATTTTTTCGGGGAGAGATTATAAGTTTCCTGGTGGGGAGTTGTATAATCTTATTGCTTATAACATTGATTCGTTTAACAGCTAGGTATTGTATTGTTTTTATGCAGGCGATAAGAATATTCTTTGTGCTCAAGTGGATTTTTTAATTAATTATTACACGCTTTCCGGCGCAGTATTCTTGGAATCTAAACTAGAGGCTTTATAGTTTCTCATATTACTTCGATGGTCTCTAAATTAATTGCTATTTGACCAACAGATTCTTTTTTTGGTTGTCTTACCATAAATAATTTCTTTAGCTTTCGCGATATTCAACCACTTATGCAGAAGTATATGCGTATTTTATTTTGGAATTATTTAAGCGGAATTAGCAGATTATATAAATTAGAATCTTTATACATGTATTGAATAACTCTTGTCACCAAAAAAATCCTTATTTTAAGTACAGGTCAATATTCATGTATACTGTAAATACTAACTACTGCTCGCCATGTCTCACCTTTTTATCTAATAATAGCTGATAATTTTTTTATCCTCAAGGACTTTTTCACCATTTCGATCAATTCTTTTAGCTCTGGATCTAAAACTAGGAAATTTTTCTTCTTCATATCATTGATTACCTCAGACGCACCAAATAAATCATCGTTCATATTCATATAGCCATCAATCAGGGTCTTGTAAGTATTAGAATTGGGATAGACACCCAAGGTTAACATTTGATCATAGAATTCTTTTGCTTCCTTTGGGTATCCAGCTTTTATGAAACCGCCTATTAAAATATTAAAGTAGCCTTCGGTAGGTTTACGACCGAAATTTATGATATTTTTATGAACCTGCATGACCGCGTCAAAGTTTTTTTGTTTGAAATAAAGTTTCAGCATGCTGCTTTCAATCTGAATGCCAGGTGGCCTTACTTTCGATATCATTTTGTAAGTCTCCAGGGCCTTGGCGAAATCACCCATCTTTATTAAACCATCGATTATTACACCATACGTTATTAGATTGGGCTCGATCCCATCATTGCGAAAACTATTTAGAGTTTTCTGGACGCTTTCAATGTCTCTCATCTCAAAGAATTTCTCCAAAAGTATTGAGAGAGTGCGAGCATCAGGTTTCACATTGGATCTTTTCATTTCTTCCAAAATCTCGAAAGCCAAGGATTCATGCGATCTCACCAGTTTTTGAATGAGCGCGTTATATGTCACTATATCAGGTTTAATGCCTTTTTCCGGCATCATCTTGTACATCTTCATCGCCTCGTCCGTTTTATTACGCATTAAAAATCCATTGATCATGGTGTTGAATATTTCAATATTAGGAGAAATTTTTTCGTTTGTCATCTGTTGAAATAATTTAATTGCCTTTCGACTTTCATTCGATCGAAAGTATATATCAATCATCGTGCAGTAGGTCTTCACGTCAGGCTTGATATCACTCTCTAACATTTTCTTCCATATGACCTCTGCGTCGTAGTGTTTACTTTTCTTTCCAAATCCGTGAATCAATCGATTGTAGAATTCTAGCGTTGGCTTGAATCCACATTTATCCATGCTTCTCCAAACCCGCGTTGCATTTTGGTAACGATTGTTATAAAGGAAATTAGATAGAAAGGTGTAATGGGTGAGCTTGTCAGGTTTTACCTCTCCTGCAATGATCTCATCGTACAGTCTCTGTGCATCATCGAACCTCTTGTTTTTGAATAAAAACTCCACGTACGATCTTCGGTGGTTCATGACCTGTTTTAGTCGATTCTCCTCTGTCGGAGATAAGTAGGTTCTCACGCTATTAAGAAGATCCTCAAACGGAACATCCTCAACATCGAAGCGATTCATTATCTCCTTTGAAGTTTCAAGTTCACCTTTTATGACGTATGCTGCCATAACATATAATGCGTTTAGGGGTGATATAGCGGAGCCATCTTCATAAATTCTTAGGATACTTGGTGTGTTGGAGGTTTCCAGGTAATAATGGAAGGATTCTTGATTGTAAGATGAGATGGCATTGAAGATTTGATTTGAACTCGCGCCTTTCGATTCCAGAGATTGAATTATATGCTCCCTTATCATTTGATCTGCCACCTCGTAATCTTCGCCTTCCAAATGTAAATTTCTTTTGAATTTAATAGCATCCTCGACGTTAGCATAGCAATCATTCTGTTTCAAAAACTCCCTGGCCTTCTCAAATTTCCTTTCTTTAACAATTAACGCAAATTCCTTTTCTTTATCGAATAATTCAAACTGAGAATGAATCGTTTCTTCGTGCTGGTGTTGCACCTCGACTTCGGTGCG